TATCGTGTTGAAAGTTATTTTCTTCTATCATGATTCTCATATACATTCCAAACATGACAAGTAATAAACGTAAATTAAAAATTATACGACTTGTAAAATTGTTCCAATTAAAATATCTGAGATATTTGATTTTATTACTTTATAGATAATATTTAGAGATAGTAGGCTTAATATTCCCTATTGATTTAAATATAGATTTATTCTCAACGGGGAGTCTATATTTAATTAGTATATTTTATAACAGTTATGTTAATATTCTACTGCTTTTTAATAGTTAATAACTAGAATAAAATAGTAAATGAACATTATTTTCAAGTCTAAGGACTTATAAAAAAGTAATATCCGTTTATTACTATTAATATAACATAATACAAACACAATTTTCTTATTAGATATTTGTCTTTTTTTATCGTACTAGCTTTTGCCCGCGACGCCGTCCTCGTGAAATAAAAATAAAAAAGAAATGAAAAAATATAGCCTATGTTATTCACAGATTAATTACCTTTCTAACGGAAAAAGAATTTTGAAATTCGGCTCAGTAGTTTTTGAGCTTATTCATTACAAACAAACAAAGTTTTCCTCTTTATAATATTAGAACAGACTAGCTTTCGCCACGACTCCGTTAGTGTGGAATTACTCTGCATTTTGCAGACTTTCTCTGCATCCATACTAAATTTCATCGAAATCCGCTCAGCAGATTAGGCTACAAACTCTAACAAAGATCCATCCATCTAAACTTTCGCATTTATAATATTAGTATCATATAAATTACAATCATGAATTGAATTGTCCGTCTATTATGAAATAAAATGCGAAGTAAACTATAACTATTGCAAAATGGAAATCACCTAATTTTGTGTATGGACAGTGCTCGTAATTAATTCAAATCAACTAATAAAATGATATTTTATATATTCCCGACATCATGTAATGATGTTTATCCCTCGGACAGCACGGTAAACATGTAAAACGAACTAACAACACTTTGCCGATGGATTCGGGGGTAATATTATTACCAAACCCCACCCCCGACTTGTCAATCGATCAAACATTGCAAACAGTGTAGGGACACCGGAAAATTTATAAGGAAGTAACCCTCAAGCAAACGACAACGTAAAATAAACCTTACTTTAATACAAATAGAGACAAAATTACTTCGATGTCGATATTTCGTGAGATCAGTACATTTAGACTGTTTGTAATTTGGACATATTTCTTATACATAGGAGTCATAGAAGCGATGGAAAATGTATTGACAAATATATCGCGTTACAGTATCCATTAGGATATTGTTTATATCAATTTATTTAAAAGGTATACGCACGAAAAAATATATCTTGAGTTATATTTAAGATACGTTGAAATAAATTATTTAGTAGACGGAATAAATATCTTTATAACGGAATATCGTGTACATAGATTGTTAGTACTGTTTCTTTCCTAACATTCTGTCTCTTTGTACCTAAAAGCAAATTTGTCTGTCATTAAAGAAAGACTAAAGTATTTGAATTCTTATAAGATTGTAACGATGAACAAGAATTAAAATTATTGTTTGTGGCCACCCTAATTTGGATAAAAAGTTACAACAAGCTTACTATGCAAAAATGAAATGAAAAGTTGAGTTAACGTTACCTTTGTCTGAAAAATACCAATTTCTTACATTTGTACACTTAACACTGATTTCTAGACACTTGTATGTTTTAAACACTAAACACGTCTGTGCACCAATGTTGAACATATTCGAATGCCACCAAATATCCTCTGTATCTTTCAACGTGAATAAATTATTACCATTTTTTTTATTGTCCCCCATCGCTAGTAAAGGGTTAAAATATTTCTATAGGAACTTATGGGTCGTGAATTTGCATATAATTTTTAGTTTATTATTTATTTTATAAAAGGGGTACCCTTTTGTCAAGGTAACGACTTTCGGGGTTGATGAATTGGCCGTATTAATAAGGATTACGGAGGTAAGCACCGTGTAGTGAACGTCGAGATGTGAGGATGATTTTGTCGACTGTCTTTTGAAAAAAAATTAAAGATTCTAGTTCAACTTTAAATCATACTTATGTTATAAATGCGAAAGTCTAAATAGATGGATAGATGTTTGTTAGAGTTTGTAGTCTAAACTTCTGAACGGATCTTGATTGAATTTAGCAGAGATACAGAGGATAGTCTGGAAGAACGAATACCGAGACCTGGTTAACGGATACTGTTAAGAACAATACCGTGGGAGAGGGTTTTATGACTACACTTTTTAATATAAACACAACTAAAATCATTATGTTCTTTGTCTTTCGTGTATTATCTCATACTTTTGGAGTCAGATATAAAAATTTATCGAAGTTACTAATATTTGTCAGTTTTAATAAGTAGATTTTGTATTTTTTACTTGACTGATTTATTTGACTTCTATATTTTAGAAAGAAATAAATTATTCGATACGTTATAGTATGATGTAATAAGAAAAATATACTCGTTTTCACTTTATAAATACAATCCGACATCAAACAAAAATATTGCTTTGTAGATTCTCTTTGTAGAATTATCATAGAAATGGTTACGTATTACGTTTACACGTAAATTGAGTATTATATCGATTCACATGAAATATGTTACATAACTAATGGCAGAAATCTGAAACTCAAACACTTTGTTACGAAGGTTGCTTACAATCTGTTAGACGTATTTAAAGGCCGGCAACGCATCTGTAGTTCCTCTGTTGTTGCGAATGTCCATGGGCGTCGCTGACCACTTTTGTGTTCCCGGCGCTCGTTTGCCCCCTTCTCATATAAAAAAAGTCAAAATTTTAATTAAATGATTTCAAGCGTCGCATCATCACTTAAGACGATGTTACACATTAAAATGTATTTTCTATAGTTTGCCGTAGAATAGACAATATCATACAATATGACAAATTAAAATTTCAACTGCTACTTTTACTACTGCTTTCGTTTACTACACGAGTCAGAAGAAACATAAGTTTTTTAGCGCAGTTTCGCTCACAAAAGTTTTGATAGGTTAGTAAGTTGGATGATTAACTTAGTTAAAAATACTGTTTTGTTCTTAATTGAATTTTATGGTAATGTTGTTTGATTGTTTAGACTTTCAACGTTATTTTGAATTTCTTGTTGCAACACATGCTAGTTGCTAGTTAATAATAAAAAAAACTGATAGAATCGTATACCATATTATCTATGATTATTAATATTCCTAACCACAATGTGCCCGATGGACCGGAAGTCAATTCTTTTGTAACAGACGCTCAAACCCTTCCGGTGATTCGATTTCTTCAATGGGACGCCATTTTGTTAGTTCCCATTCATTCGGACCCTTTTATCTCACAGCGCATCTTTCGTATTAAAATTAATAAAATGGGCTTTTAAGATCGGTCACGAATGACCTCTTTGCATATTAGATTATTTCATTTATATTTACAAGATCGTACTTCTATATGTGTATAATTATTAATTAGTTATGAAGATGTCAAAGGTGCCCTAAATGATTTAGACACAAAGATGTTTCAGGGCGTGCCGAACAGTGGCATTAGTAATTTATTTACTTCTAGTAGTGTACTTTCTACTATTAGTAGTCTTCGCGTTCTTTCAGACCAAATTGTACACCTATATTTTCATTCAGATCCTTTGGACTCGTTCTGGAGTTTTCGTAGTAACTTGATCCATTCGTAAAAACTTTTGCATTTATAATAGTAACTAGCTGATCCCTTGCGGCTTCATCCGCTTATTTTATTGTTTACCTGTGTCAAATAATCAATTGCAAATGTCAAAATTACCTTATTATGGCAATTTTGCTTTCTTGATGTTGGCAGCAACTTATGGTCTCTTTCTCACATTAGGGTTTTTATCTAAAATATTAAGCCCTTTTTTAATGGCGTGAAAATTTATAGTCTAAAGCATGACGTAAGTGTAGGGCTTTTTATTACGAAAAGGATTATACAAAAATATGCTGTAATTGCTGACATCTTAGGCAACAAAAAGTGTGTGTTTACGCTTCATTATAATAAGTATAGATTAGATTGATTAAAAAAAATGTCTAAACTAACGGTCAAATAAAAGTTTCTTCTTGGTAGTTAAGGTCACTAATAAAAAAAGGTTTTCATAAACAAGCCGATAATAGGCAACAACTTAAACCAAATATTTGCAACAGAAACACACTTCACACACAAAAACCTCTATTATTGCAATCATCGATGTATTGATCAAACATTAAGCAAAAAATCTACTATAGAAAAAAAGGCCGCCACTACACGTACTAACAAAACAAACATTTCACGGGTATATGATAACAAAAAACTGCTCCCATCACAATGAGAAACATCCTTTTGTAGGGAATTTGACTATCCATTGTTTAAAATACTGATTTATAGGTTATTAAACCCTTTCTATAATGTATGGATAGATAAATTTATGCGTATTATTCGTAGTTTAAAAAATGTGGGTAATATTTTATCTGTGGCATTCAAATGTTTGACAAAGGTTTGGTTCGGCAGGCGCCGATAACTTCCAACCCACGTAACGTAGTTCAATTATATATTTTTAATATAAGATTTTAATATTAATAGCGTCACTATTCCAAATTCAAATATAACATCGAATAGAAATTATAGGTTATCTTGTATCATGCGATGTCATGATTCTTAATTAGTTTGTAGACAATTTTCATGTTATTGTTTTAAATTAACACAGTTTATTCGAATTTCAAATCTAATGTTTTGACTCAAAGTTCATTATACCTTGTATGATTAATTATTACACCTGCATAAATATCAAACATTCTGTAAGCATCAATTAATTTGACCTCACAGAAGTTGAATCTTGAAAAAGTAATTTAAACCATATTTGCATTTCATTAAGTGTCAAAATTAACTAGCGTCTTAAAAATATTTTAACTTAAAGTTTTACCTATAATAAAATGCTATCAAGTGTATCTTTAAACCAATATACATTTATTATTGTTGACAAAACCTTGAAATATGACCGTTAATGTGGTTTTTGTTGTCATGTCCCGCGGTCTTCAACCCTCCTTTTTACGTTAACTGACTTTTTTCTAATAGCCGTTCTTCTATTAAAATGATGGGTCATAGGTAAAAATAAAAAAGATAAGCGTCAACAAATGAACATCAAAACCATTCACTATTAGTGCGCGCGCACACCATTGATTAAAATATCGCACAACTGTTTAGTCGCGCTTTGATTCCTATGAGCTTATGTGGGGTTCACACACTACTCGATTTTTAGTTATACAATTAAATTTGAATTGGCCGGGAAACAATCGACAATCGCACAACAGTTTTGCAACAGTTTGTAGATACAAAAGAAGGTACCAGACATTAAAAAACGAATCAAAATTTCTACCTAGTTTAAAGGAAGGTACAGATTTTCTTTCTTGCCACAAAACTGTCAACTTTCACTTTTAACTCTAAAGAAAATGCGCTTTAAGCGGCGACGCTCGAGAAAATAGTAAATTTCATTCACAAAACTATTTTTTAAAACACGAATACGTCAAGGTGTCGGTGTTTTGAATTTCTTTTCCTGAATTTCAAATTAACTTTCTCTAACGGATCTCCGTGAAATTTTTCACAGATTTCGGACATAGTCTAGAAAAACACGTAGGTTTCAATTTTTTTTAAACCAATCGAAGACTAAGTCAAATGTTAGTTTATCCGTATACATTTAAATTAATTTAAATCGAAAATCAGTTAATAAAATAAAACTTGACAATCTAGAAAAATCCAAAATGGCGGCCACTACATCTGACAACAATTCCAATTTCAAATTCACACGACATTAGCCGCGTCACAGCCAATAAAGTCCTATTTAAATAAACTAATCAGTTGTAACGATTTTAGAATATAGATCTGGTGTCGATCGTCGTAATCCTTTGAGTGGTACTCGAGGTAGTAGGGACGGTACTATTGTATAGATAATTTATTGTCACCCGATGAATGTCCTATATTTTATCGATCTTGGGGTTGTGGATGGATTATTATTAAACAGACTGATGTTGGTGGATTTTTTTAAGCTAAAAGAAGCTTTGACTCAAAACGAAATAAAGAAAGTCGATATACGACAAGTTTAGCTAACCTGAAATAACAGACGTTAGAAAGGTGTTTGTGGTTAACTCAGAAAGCATTTTAAACCTATATATGATGAAATGA